TAAAGTCGCAACTGCCCCACCCATAATATGGAGTTTGTTGTAGTGGTGTTTGTTGTAATGATCTAGATACATTATCTTTATAAAGAGAAATATTATATCTATACCGACTATAAGAGTATGAAGTATATGGTTACTTAGAATGAGCTGAATCTAAGACAACGTCACTGGTTTGAGCTTCTAAAGGACTATGATTGTGGGATAAAATATCATCTGGGCAAGCCCAATGCCTTAAGCTATAAAGTGTTTGTATGATAATGGTAGCCTGTTGGCGGAGTTGCATATTAAGCTGACCTTAGTTGAGGATATTAAGTATAAGTAGCTTATAGATAGCTCATTGATTTCCATTATTGAGCAGGTAGAGCAAAGATTTAGCTCGAATTATACTTTTGATCAGGACGGCATTATATGCTTTCACGGTCATTACATTCCTAATGATGATAAGTTGAGACAGACTATTCTTCAAGAGACCTATAATAGTCCTTATGCCATGCATCATGGTGGGGGATAAGATGTATAAAAATTCAAAGGAGCGTTATTATTAGGATGGTATAAAGAAGGATATTTATGAGTATGTGACAAAGTGTCTGACTTGTCAGTAGGTTAAAGTCGAATATCAACATCTGTCGGGTCAGTTGCAACCTAACAAGATTCAAAAGTGGAAGTGGGAGCAAATTACAATGGACTTTGTTATCAACCTGCCTTTAACTCATTCTAAAAAGGATTATGTCTAAATGGTTGTAGATAGACTCACCAAGATAGCTTAATTTATTCTGGTTCGAGTTAATTATTCTCTAGATAAGTTGGCTAGGTTTTATATCTCTGATATCATCAGACCCCATTATGTTCTGTTGTCTATTATTTCTGATCGAGATTCGAGATTCACTTTTAGACTCTAGAAGGCTCTGGGTACCTATCTAAATATTAATATAGCTTTTCATTCCCGAATTAATGGCCAGTTTGAGAGAGTGATACATGTGTTAGGGGATATGCTAAGAGATTGTGTGATTTACTTCTGTGGTAGTTGGAAAGACTTCATGCCTTTGGCTGAGTTTTCTTGCAATAACAACTATCATGCTAGTATCCACATGCAGAGTCATCTCAAACATTTTCAGGCCCTGAGCAAAAACACAAAAATAGACCCTTATAGAACAAAAACATATTTTATTACTTTAAACAATTAATTAAACATCATATAAAAATGATTAAATTTTTTCGAATATTAGTTTCATTGTTTTGTTAAGAAAATACCTTAAATAAGACTAAGAGAATAAAAATCGAATGTGGGTATGAATTATGATATGGAGCTTGATTTTGAATAATAAATAAAAAAATAAAGAATAATATATTTTTGTTATCATTAAATTCAGATTAAAGAATATTTGGTAAATTGAAAAATAAGATTTGTAAAAAAAAGACAAATATAATTAGATTTAATTCAAAATTAAATGAAATAACGAGAGAGATGGAGAAAGAGATTAGAAAAGGAAAATTTTATGAAATTGAAAAAATAGAGGCCTTAATTATAAAGGTAGAAATTGAGATCGAAAAAATTAGAGGCCTCAATTAATAAAGGTAGAAAGTGAGATTGAAAAAACTTAAGGGCCTCAATTATAAAGTTAAAAAAGTGAGAATAAAAAATTAGGGACTTCAATTATAAAGGTATAAATCAAGATTGAAAAAACTTAGGGGCCTCAATTGTAAAGGTAGAAAGCGAGATTGAAAAAAAACCTAAGGGCCTTAATTATAAAGTTAAAATATGGGATTAATAAATTAAGGGCATCAATTATAAAAAGTGAGATTGAGAAAACTTAAGGGCCTCAATTATCAAGTTAAAAAGTGGGACTAAAAAATTAGGTGCCTTAATTATAATGGTAAAAAAAGGGATTGAACAATTATAAATATAAAAAGTGAGATTGGATAAAATTAGAAAATCAATTTTAAAGGTAAAAAATAAGATTTAAAAATTAGGAGCCTAATTATAAAGATAAAAATAGTCGGCCATGTCTGCATGGCACCGTATGAGGTATTGTATGGAAGGAAGTGTTGCACTCCTATATGTTGGACTAAGTTGAATGATAGAAAGATTTTGGGTATGACTTTAGTCCAAGAGACTGAGGACACTACCAGGTTGAATTGTGATTGCCTAAAGAATGTGTTTTTAGACATAAATCTTATATTGACTAGAGGATGAATGATATAGAGTTTGAAGTTAGGGAATAGGTTTTTTTAAGGTATCTTCTTGGAAGAAAGTGTTGAGATTTGGATACAATGGTAAGTTGAGCTCGAGATTGATTGGGTCATATCATATTCAAAAGAGAGTCGGACCTGTTTCTTATCAGCTTGAGTTGTCATTCCAACTTAGTCGTATTCATGACGTTTTCCATGTATCTATGCTGAGACGATATTGTCCGGATATGAGTCACATTATTCAGTCTGAGGATGTAGAGTTGAGGTATGATTTGTCTTATGATGATGAGCTTGCTCAGATTTTGGATTGGGATGAGATATTTATTTAGAACAGACGTATTCGATGGTCAAGGTTTAGTTGAGTAATTGTAGTCCTGCAGAAGCTACCTGGGAGACATTGGAGTAGATGGAGGCTCAGTTTCCATATCTATTTAAATCAGGTAAATTTCAAGGATAAAAATTATTTTAAGGGGGAGAATTGTCATACCCCAATTTAGTTCTAATTTTAATTCCAGTGATTAAATTGAAATCTTAATTAAAATCGAATCAAATTTGTAAATTGGGAAAAATTCAAGAACTTGGAGCGTGATTAGACCATTTTCCAAATAGGTTGAATTTAAAATACACTCACATTTCTTGAGACTTCCCAAAATAACAAACCCCACACTCTCTCTCCCCACATTTCCTCTTATATATCTCTCTCATCCAAGAAACTTTAAACGTCATTTCGTTGCCGATTGTGACTCTGTTCATCTCACTTCTCATACCATCGTGATCCTAGTGTTGTCCTAAGTCGACCAGTGATCTTGGATTTATTGTAGTCATTGATGTGTGAATCAGTGAAGAAAAATGAGTTTTCGGTGTTACGAAATCAAGCTCTCTATTGTTCACCGTTGTTAACTGAGCTTGGAAAGTGACTCAAAACCTCATTTTATATTTTAAAAAAATCAAAAAATTTTAGCTCCCCCGAAGTCGCATGTGCCCCCACGCGCCGTCCCTACACATGGGGCTCTTCCACTACCTAAGGGGTGCTTCTAGAATCTAGTCAACCCGACCAATATCTTGACTCGACCCGTACCCATCTATCTGGCCTAATCTTGCAACTCAAATGTCAATCGACTCAAACCCAATCAATCCATCCTAACCGAACCAGTCTGAATCAATTCAATCGAATCGAACTGAATCAGTCTAACTGAGCTGATCAAGCCGCACTAAGCTAAGTCGAGTTGAGCCGTTAACTATAGTCGTTTATCGTTGGCTATTGACCCAAATCGTTGACCAGACTGGATTTTTTTCGAAAACCTCCCTCTTAATATTTTTTGATGTCTTGAGTTTGATTTTACGATCCTTTTGTCAAATTCTGATTGAAAGCCCCAAAATAAGCTGATTAATCTAAAAATGCTTAGAATTCTTAGTATTTTTGCATGTTTATTGGGTATTGAATTTATAATTAATTTGGGATTATATTTTATGGTGTTACTCGTTTTCCCTAATTGAGGATCGACTAGATCCAGTGCTTCTCGTCCAGTATGTTCGCACGATTCGCGTACTTTAAGAGTTATTCGTAGATTTTCGTAAATTGTTTAAATAAAGTTTATAATTTATTATTTTGAGACAATGATATAATTTCTTCTGATTCCTAGGATCTAGCACTGTCGTAGATCTTGATAGGCAAACCCAACAGTAGACTACCTTATCAGACTTCTCAGATCGATACAGGTGTGTTCCTGATGATGTTAAATGAGTGTGATCAAAATTAAGTTTGTATTTGTATTTATATGCAATTTTAATTTTAGTTTGTTTTGATATCATGTGTGAAATGTGTAAATCATGATTTCGGTTTTTCGAAAAGTTAATTAATTTCTTAAATCTTGAGTTATATCAAGTTGTATCGTAACATTAAATTTATATTCAAAAAAATAATATAAATTATGTCAAAGGTTATAACAAGTTTATTTCTTTTCTATGAAGTTTATGAGTAGGGATGGCAACGGCCGGGTTCGGGCCGAGTATTGGTCTCCCGTCCCCGTTTAAAAAATCCATACACATCCCCGCTTAAAAAATCGCGGGGATTTAAATAGACATCCTCATCGGTTAATCGGGGAAAACCGCGGGGAAACGGGTATCCCCATTTAGCATAAACGATTATTTAAACGGGTATCGGGCCGAGTATATATATTTAAATTAAATATATAAATATTATATATATTTAAATTTAAATTAAATTTATTAATACTATATATATATAATAATTATTTTTAATATTTATCGGGCCGTGTATTGGGTCGGGTATCAAGCCGGGTAATCGGGTAATCAGGGCGGGAATTACCAAACTCGTCCCCGTCCCCGTTTAGCATAAACGGTTTTTCCCATCCCCGTTTATCATCCCCGAACCCGACCCGTTTAATTCGATTTTCAGTTTTTCCCGTCGAGTTCGGTTTTTTTTGCCATCCCTATTTATGAGAATGGTTACGAAATAGGTTCATAATTTTCTTTAATTATTGAAAACCTACAAATATCTTATAGACGTAATTATTTGAATCTAATACTTTTGAGGAGAACAACACCATCTTTAATCATTAAAGTTACTTAATAGAATATAAAAATATTATTAAAATAAAATTTAAAATTTAAAATTAATATAAGATTTTAAAAAAAATTAAATCGAATCTAATTAAAATAAACCGTTTAAAAATTAAGCTTAAAAGAACAGCCCAAACACTGATCCGTTTGAACTCCAATGTCTAATCCAACCCAGCCCTAATTGGATTACCGGTTTCTGCGCAACGATATTTTAAGTTTTAACCGTCTTATATAATTCCATGCTTTTCCGTTTTCACGATATCAGCTAGAGGTCGAAAATGGAAAAAGTCAAAGAATTTCTCAAACTTGACAAAGAAGCAGAGGAGACCGTGTCACGACTCGCTGTTCACCCTCACCGACTTGGTTACGAGCGCAGCTTCTACAATAAGTTCGCCTTAAGCGGCCTCAATGTCGACAGGGTCGGGCCTGGTTTCGTCTCCTGCACTTTTAAAGTCCCTCCTCGCCTCACAGTAAGTTATCCCCCAAAAAAGCCCTATCTAAAATTATGTTGGATTTGAATGATATGAGATCTGGCTTAATTTCTTGTTTTTTTGTTGAATAATTAACCTTGGTAGGATAAAAATGGGAATTTAGCAACGGGCGCCATTGTGAATATTGTCGATGAAGTTGGTGGGGCAGCGGTCTTTGATATAAATCTTCCTATGAAAGTTTCGGTCGATATGTCCATTTCGTTTCTGGGAACCGCTAAGGTCGATGTAAGCCAGCCTCTTTCATGAGTTCCATTAAGCATTTCTAGCTCCTTTAGTGTAGTGAGTTGGTTTGAATTTAGTACTAATCATTTTTTAGGATGCATTGAATGTTTTCAGCATGTGATCCAACGCTGTTACTTATTTCTTGATCTTTTTTTCGGCTTGTATCTGTCAGCCGATTCGATCATATGAATTTAAGTCAATTGATTTTTTCACTCTCTGAATTTGGATCAATATGAATGTATGCTAGTTGAAAGTTGTAAAAGAAAACGTGAGATTGGATCAATATACGCCTGTAAACTGTGCTGATTGTGTTGATTTTGGATTGGGTAAATTCAGCTTTAATCAGTTTTCTGTTTGGGTCATTGGGTTTGCCAATTAGGTTTTCCGGGTTGAATCATCTTGAGTTTCAAATCTTTTCTGTATTCGGGTTAAGCATCTTCAGATTGTTGCTTTTCATGGTCAAATCAAGTTCAGTCAGATTTGGATTCGAGTTTATGAGTTTTCTGGTTTTGAGCCAGGATCTGCAGGTCTAGATTTATCTCATGCCTCTTGTTTTGAAGCTGAAAAGAGAATTGATAGCATATCTCTCTATGATCCTACTGGACTTTTATAATCGGTTCAGTTAGGTTCACTCCAAGATTATGATCCATTGCAGATCATAATCCCTCTGGTCTTTTTTCTTTCACGTTAGCTACTGTCTGTAAGAGAACTTGGTTATTCTGCTTTTAATACGATCCTAATCCCTGAGAGGCCATATGCAGGACGAGTTGGAGATTACCTCAAGGGCTTTAGGACAAAGAGGAAATTATTCTGGAACAATTGCTCATATTAGAAACAAAGCAACAGGGGAGTTAATTGCTGAAGGTCGGCATTCCTTGTTTGGTGAACAATCTAGCAAGCTCTAGTTCCATTCCAAATTTCTGTAAGAAAATACTAGGAACTGGTGGATGTTTTACTTGTACTATTTTAAGAACTGCTTTCTTGGAAGCATATTATGTGATTTCTGACTTTATGAAGATCGGCATTCCTTGTTTGGTGAACAATCTAGCAAGCTCTAGTTCCATTCCAAATTTCTGTAAGAAAATACTAGGAACTGGTGGATGTTTTACTTGTACTATTTTAAGAACTGCTTTCTTGGAAGCATATTATGTGATTTCTGACTTTACGAAGATTCTCTAGTAATATGTATTTCATTATCTAGCCTATTTCGTGTTAGAACTCAGAATATGAATGGGACTCTAGATGACATCAAATGACGACGGTTACTTTAAATAACCTAATTTCCAAAAGGTGAAGGGTCAACGTACACGCTCTTCAGGGTGGTGTGGCTTTACAACGAGACATTCCCACTGGGGTGGTGGACGTTGAAGCCTAGACCAAAGGAAGAAGGAGAGCTAGTCCATTTATATGAGGGTAAAAAGTTACTGAATCCTGGTGATGCAATGGAAGACTTTGTTGCTGAGGGAGGCATGATGAGAGTTACTATCATTCCAAAAGGGATCTTTGAAACGGATAAAGTTTTGGTTAATTAACCGGAGATGTAAAACGAGAAGTTCAGGCTGGATGCAATGAAGATGTGGCCAAGGATGAGAAATGATGTTGTTTTGGAGCTTCATGAGAAAGGGTATGAGAGTTAGTGATTTTCTGCTATTGCATTCAGGTTGTTAACTGTGTTGGATTTATATCTGTGAATCTTATTTGAAGATTGAGTTCGACGTTGTTTAACGAATCTAACGTCTCATCACGTTAGACCAACCAGTAGTTAGTAATTTTAGTCTTGATATAATATTCTTTGCAAGGGCTGCTTTCGACCAAGGAAAGGGATTTGGGACCTTTAACGAACCTTAGAATTGGAGCAGCTGAAAATGAGGGTCTCAAGGTGCCCCCAGTTCGATCAATGGTTAGAACTAATGGAGAGTGGATGTGGGAAAACTTTCAGCATTTTCTTCATGGCACTGCTTTATTAAGCATTGTGGGTACTAAGCCCCCAATTTATATGGGCATTGAAGATATACCGGACTGGAAATGGGATAAGAATAGAATGTTTTCAGTCAAATCTGCATACGAACTTTGTGCCGGTTTAATGAGTGAGAATATAGAAGATATATGAATTTCAATAGATGCAATGTGTTATCTAGGGACTAGGATTACAATATAACTTAAAGATTTTATTATTTTTCTTCTGGCATTTTTTGAACAAGTTTAGAGAATTGGAAAGGGAGTGGGGGACCTATATGCTATATATACAATTGTTTACAGTTGCTTCAGCAGGTAAAATGGGTACAAAATCAACAAAGAGTCCCCACAGGCTTTTTATATGTGTACCATTTCGCAATCAACAGACATGCTCCTAAGTTCAGCACACTCAGCATTGCTAAAAGCCAGAAAAAGTAATATGGCCATAATTTAAGTTGTCTGGTATCCAACCGAGCTTTCCGTTCCTTGCAGTTAAACTGGTAACAATAGTAACGAGCAAAGAGCTCAAGTAGTTACCGAGTGCAAAGGTAGTGAGTTGTAGAGCCGAGCAGAAACTCCTCATGGTATCGGGTGCTTGCTCGTAGAAAAATTCCAACTGTCCAATCAGCGTGAAAACCTGCACATCCTATGAGAGAATATTGTGGAACTTGCCAAAAGATTGTCATCGGCATTTCCTTAACCTCATAGTAATTGTGCCTCCTCATTTGTCGGAGTCTTTTGAGTTCCAGAATTGCTGCCACTACCATGGCGTATATTGATATGAAGAAACCAATGCCCATCCGCTGAAGCTGAGTTAGGCCATTCTTGTGACCAGTGCATTTTCTAGTCACCGAGACGATAATTCTGTCATAGATTGGCACCCCAAAGATCACACTGAGGGTGTCAAATATCGACAGCGATGCTGGTGGGATCTTGAAAGTAGAATTGCCGAGTTATCATTCTTTCACATTGCAACGCAAATAAATTGCTCATCTGACTGTAGACAACAGCAAAGATGTTCCCGGTAGCCCATATGGGGAAGCAAGCGAATGACAGCTTTTAGCTCCTCCACTTGAGTTACTGTACAAAATCTCCATGGGTTTACTATACCATTTATGTGGTCTGATTCAATTTCCACAGCTGCTTTGTCAAAGAAACTGAAAGATTACAGTAGCCGCCTTAGAGCATGAACATGGAAACCAAGAGGAAAACAAGCACTTTGCAGTAAAGTATACATCTGATTCTACATACATGCTGGAATTCTCAAGTTGAAACTAATTTGAGGTTTGTAGGTAATATTTAGGTATATGAACAATATCTTCCTGTTTATTAGACATGAATATAACCAATTGGACGTTTGAGATCGATGTTTGGGCACTAACCTGAGATCTTGTGTGTCCTCGACCTTACGGTTTCCCCTGATATTTGATTCAGCATCAGCAGTTTCATACAAAAGTGACTTATCAGCAGGGATGCACACTCGGAATTTCCTGAAGGACGCCACCACCACCTGACAGAGGCGCGTGAGAGGGCTGGCTCCAGGCTTTTGATTGCGGTATAAACGAGTACTGAAAAGAAAAATGCAACAGGGTAATTTTATATATTTTTTAAAAATACTGTAATTTTATATTTTTATTAAATAAATCAAATAGTATAATACAATATTTTCTAAATAATATTACATTATAATAATCTTATTTTTAAAGATAATTTTACAATTTGAACTAAACGTGCTATAAATAAATGACTCGCTTGAGTATTGAGGAAAAAAAAACCCTAAAATATCCCAAGGTAATGCCCCACCTTAGCCAAGCGTGTGGTTACCAATCAGCACAAAACATGTGGTCTGCGCACAATCTTGGTCAAAGTCCAACCCACTCATTCCACGTGTTAAGTTCCACAAAACCCTATGTAATCTCTAAACACGAAATCTTTGCCCCTTTCTTCTTGATAATGTCAACTCTGAAACGTGACAGTTTTTCCTTTTTAATCCAACGGCTCAGTTTCTCCCAAGTATTCTCTTTCGCAATGGCTCTGTTTTGGTTTCTATCTCTACGAATTTCTGCAGATAAAAAACGAGACTAATCAACATAAGTAACATATAAATTAGCCTATTTTTAAAAAAAAAATTTCTAGGGTTCCAGCAATGTCATCGATTGAATTTCTACGACCGACGACGATAACAATCCAAGGGAAATTCAGCACAAATTCTTACTCTAATCTTCTTTACCTGCATGGATTAAACTTCAACAGCAATCGGTTTAGTGTTTTGCAACAAAAACCGAACTTCTTCTCCAATTTTATCACCTCCACCCTAAAGAACGCAGCCGTTTCGGGAAACCGCGAGAGGTTAAATCTTTACGGAAGGGGTAAATTAAGGTTCAAAGAGAGCAAAAATTTGGCTAATTGTACAGATAACAACGATTCGAAGTCAAGTTCCGGCGAGACAAATGAAAGCGAAGGAGGGCAGGGAGTGAGGCAGAGACAGAATCCGACAAACTCGGGCGGTTCGACCAATCAGAGAGGAGAAAAGAACGGAAGAAGCGGGCTTTGGTGGTCCAAAGGGAAGAAGTGGCAGTGGCAACCGATAGTTCAAGCTCAAGAAATTGGCGTTTTTCTTTTACAGTTGGGTATTGTTATGTTGGTTATGCGATTGCTCCGCCCCGGGATTCCGTTACCTGGGTCCGAGCCTAGGACTCCCTCGACCTTTGTCAGTGTTCCTTACAGTGACTTTTTGAATAAGATTAGTGCTAATCAAGTCCAAAAGGTTGAGGTTGATGGGGTTCATATAATGTTCAAATTGAAGAATGAAGTGAGTTTTCAAGAGAGTGATATTGGTAAGTTTCAGGAGTCGGAGTCTTTGTTGAGGAGTGTGGCGCCTACGAGGAGAATTGTATATACAACAACTCGGTCTAGTGATATTAAGACTCCATATGAGAAGATGCTGGAAAATGATGTGGAGTTTGGTTCTCCCGATAAACGATCTGGTGGCTTCTTGAACTCTGCATTGGTAGGTTGTGGTGTTATTTTGTACGTTGATATGATCCGAGTGAAACTAGTTTAATTACTTTTTTGAAGCTTTTTTTTAGGTATTATTAAGTGAGTTACTGTAACTTGTTTGAATTGTCATGGTTATGTTGATGTAGTAGTTTTTTGTGCTAAGCTGCCTTCTCGTAGTTGGTGGGACTGAGATTGGTTACAATATGGGAATCTATTATTGGGAATCTATATCCTTTTGAAGTGACAGGAATGTAAAAGGTTGTTTTTGGTGGGATTGAGATTGATTACAATTTGGGATAAGAATATCTTCAGTTACACCCATTCACTTGGTTATTTTTATGTCATGTTTACGTATACATCTTTGGCGGGCTTTTATCTTTTTGACTTGCTCTCTTTTGCAGATAGCTTTGTTCTATGTTGCTGTTCTTGCTGGACTTCTACATTGGTTCCCTGGGAATTTTTCTCAGGTTTGGATTTGGTTGTACGTTCTCAATACTAAGATGTCTATGTGGTGAGAAATTATTTTATGAATGTCATACATGGTCGCTACCAATGAAAACCACCCACTCCACCCTTTTTTTACATATCATTAATTCACCGACATTTAAATTCCATGTAACAACACATAACAATGTTGACATGGAGAAAAAGTGAAGATTCATCATTAAAAAAATGATGACAAGGAGGCAAAAGAGTGAAGTGGGTGGTTTTCATTGGCAGGGACCACAGAAGACATGGTGGAAAGGATTCATAAAATAATTTTTCCTATGTGACATTTTCGTTCTGATCTGAATCATGCATGTATGCAGCATACAGCTGGTCAAATTAGGAATCGTAAGTCAAGAGGTTCTAGGGATTCAAAAGTTCCTGAACAAGGTGAAACAATAACTTTTGCTGATGTGGCTGGTGTCGATGAGGTCAAGGAGGAGCTTGAAGAAATTGTGGTATGTTAAAT